GGGTGAGTTTATTCTGAGCCAAAATGTGAGGGCCATAGCCCAGGGCCTTCCTTCCCCAAGGAAGGAAGGACACCAAAAATGTGGGGTGTACAGAGTGGTTATATACCCTCAAAGAGCATGTTTTACGTAGGATTGAAATGTCCCTTTTACAACAGTCACGAGACTGCTCTGTCGGCACAGCAATTGATGAACACGGCAGGTAGTAGGTCTGCTGTCTCGGTGGACACAGTGGGGTGGCAGGTTTGTTGTCTCGAGCTGGGTGGTCACAGGGTGGGTGCAGGAATCAGTTCCTAGCCTAGGGAGAGATGCTTATCCTTAAGGAAATGCCAGTGTGAGGGGAAGCTGCACGTTTATTTAAGGCCATTTGTTCTTCCCATAGTAAATGTTTAAAGCAGATATACCATGCGTGCTCAATGGCCATGTCAGGCCCTTTTGGAAAAACAAAGTCAGGCCGAATTAGGTTTACACTAAATGGCTTCCTCATAGACTCTCATATATCCTATTGCTTGCCATTTCTATTTGTCAAGAGGAAAATCTGTTCAAATAATCTCTTGCTGGGGATGACCAGTGGCTTGCAAGTTGAGGGGGTGGTGGGAGAGCGGGACCAGGCTGTGGAGCCCCCTACTCTGTGGGGGCAGAACCTAGCGCCCTGCCCACCACTGTCCCGGGGAGTCCTCCGCCCGCCGCCTCCACCCCCACAAGGAGCCTGAGCCCAAGGGGTTGCTGCGCGGCTTCAATCCTATTTCTGTACAAAAAATTATTTTAATGATTGAAAAAAAAGTGGAGGGGCAACGGGATGTGTCCCAAACTCTCCAGAGTGGTTAAATCCTAGACCTGGTTACGGAGAACTTTTCCTTTCTCCATTATAGATTCTAGACCTCTGCGATGTTTGACTTTTCAGTGTATACCTATTTTACAAAGAGGAGAAAAAAATAACTTTTAAGAGTTAATTTGTCTCATCCTCTTCCTCCATTGAGCTCCCTGCATACTATGCCACCTTCTGGCAGTGAGGTGGCTTCTTCTGCATGTGTTGGGGACAAAACCCATCAAATGTGAATAGTTACAATTTCCCTCACCTGCCTGCCTCGGGAGGTGGGAGCCTCTTTTGTTTTGCTCAGGAGGGGGATGGGTGGGCATGAAGAGGGACAAGCCCAGGGACAGGCAACTGGCTCTACACAGCAGGTGCCTGAAATCCCCACGCAAAAAGCCTGTTCTGATGGGGGAGAAAGCAAAGAGGAGGGAGAGACATGAGCACTGTCCTCAGCCGTGGAACTCCGTGTGAAGGGGGGGACTGTAAAGGGATTGAGGGGGAGGCATACTATGTCACTCCCGCCTCATGGCCTCAAGAGACCTTCAGTAAAGATCCCTGTGATTTTTTTTTTTCTTTTTGGAGAAAGATTAGCCCTGAGCTAACATCTGCTGCCAACCCTCCTCTTTTCACTGAGGAGGAACGGCCCTGAGCTAACATCCATGCCCATCTTCCTCTGCTTTATACGTGGGATGCCTAACACAGCATGGCTTTTGCCAAGTGGTGCCATGTCCGCACCCGGGATCCGAACCCACGAACCCTGGGCCACCACGAAGTGGAACGTGCGAACTTAACCACTGCGCCACCGGGCTAGCCGCAGTCCCTGTGATTTTTGAAGGTTCTTTGGAAAGGATTTCAGATGTGATGCTCTGAAGCGATGAAACTAAATGATAGACCAGAAAGGCCTAGATTTCTTTGCCATGCTGTGGTTTTCTCACAGGAAGGGACCATGCTGCTCAGGCAAAGGGAGTGTTCTGGTCAGTTCCACCATTCTAAATCTCCCCACATGACTCAGTGAATGCCTGGTTTATACCTCAGTCTCTTGTGAGTTGTGTCAGAGTGAGTCTATCCTGAGAGGTTGCTGACAAAATGGACTTTCTGGTGCTGCAGAACTGAGCACCAAAATCTATCACAGTCATCCCACCAAAATGCTGCCCCCTCAATGGCTCTCCCTGGGCATTTCATTTTCTCTTTTATCTAAGAAATATTTATATTATGTGCCAGGTACAAGGCTAAGTGCTAAAAATACAGTGATGAGCATAAATGGATATGAACCCAGACTTCATGGAGTCTATAATCTAAAGGGTGAGGAGTAGGACAGATAGGTTACAAACAAATAGAAAATTGTGACATTTGTGTTACTATCACAATTACATCAGGTCTACACTTGCTTTGAGAGATTATAAGAGAGGGATCTGGCTCAGTCAGGGAGATGTGAAGATGAGCAGGAGATAAGGAGGGAAAGAGGGGAGGGAATGTGCTCTAGGCAGCCTTTGCAGAGGTCCTGTGGGAGAGGAGACAGGACAGGTCTGAAAGATCTGAAGACTGGGCAGGCTGAAGTGGAGAGGAAGGTAGAGTGGTTTGGGAGAGGAGGCAGTGGGGCAGGAGACCAGGGGTGCGAGGACATGAACACACTTGGATTTTGTTTCCTTTTTTGAGGAAGATTAGCCCTGAGATAACATCTGCTGCCAATCTTCCTCTTTTTACTGAGGAAGCCTGGCCCTGAGCTAAAATCTATGCCTATCTTCCTCTACTTTATATGTGGGACGCCCACCACAGCATGGCTTGCCAAGTGGTGCCATGTCCGCATCCAGGATTCGAACTGGTGAACCCCGGGCCGCCGAAGCAGGACATGTGAACTTAACCGATGAGCCACCAGGCCGGACCCATACACACTTGAATTTTAAGAAGATCATTCTGGCCAGAGCAGGTTAGGGGAGACAATTTAAGAAGCTTTGTTTACTGCCACTAGTGGACATGGGTTCTTTCATATAAGAGAGTCCATCTACTCTTCATCTCCACTCTTCATGCTAGTCCAAGCTGCCTCTGCTCTTGCCTAAACAGCTACAAAAGCATTTTATTGTTTTCAATCCTGGATGCAGAGGTTGCGTTACTCATTTCTCACTTTACAGCACACTGTCCTCATGGGGCCCAGAAAAATCTTCACATAGGCCACAAGGGGACATGCATGAGTCTGTTCACTGTGGCATTGTTTGTGGTAGCCAGTAGTTGGAGGCAATTTAGAGGCCCACCATGTGGGTCCGCATAACTAAAATTTGGGTGCCCACTATGAAATATTGCATGGTTATTCTAAGTAACAGGCTAGGCGTACACACAACAAGGACGGGTCTTCAAAGCATGCTGCTGAGTGGAAACTGTAAGAAAGAGAATGAGGTTTATAGGACAATACCATTTAGCTGAATTAAAGATACAGGCACACTAAACAACGCAAATGTTTTACAAAGACTCCCACACACCATTGGGGAAGACAGGAGGAATGAAGAAGAGAGACAGAAGGCCATAAATACATAAAACAAGAGAGAGGCCATGCAGAGCCCCATGAGGACAGTGTGCTGTAAAGTGAGAAATGAGTAACGCAACCTCTGCATCCAGGATTGAAAACAATAAAATGCTTTTGTAGCTGTTTAGGCAAGAGCAGAGGCAGCTTGGACTAGCATGAAGAGTGGAGATGAAGAGTAGATGGACTCTCTTATATGAAAGAACCCATGTAAAGCATTTCAATGGTGCCTAATACATACTAAGTGCGCACCAAATGTGAGCTGTTCTTATGTTTATACTGCAAATACTTAGGGATGGACTGAAAACGGGAGGGGAGGGAAAAGGTGATGTCAAGGATAACTCCCAGGGGCTCCCTTGTTGCAGACAGGGAGGTGAGAAAATGAAATGAGAGGACAGATGATTCTTTTGAGGAATTTAGATATGAAGGGGAAGAAAGAGCTATCCCTTACACATGGGCAACTCTTGAAAACACTTTTAAAAAATTAATCAAGCGGGGGGCTGGCCCCGTGGCCGAGTGGTTAAGTTTGCGTGCTCCGCTGCAGGCGGCCCAGTGTTTTGTTGGTTCGAATCCTGGGCGCGGACATGGCACTGCTCATCAAACCACGCTGAGGCAGCGTCCCACATGCCACAACTAGAAGGACCCACAACGAAGAATATACAACTATGTACTGGGGGGCTTTGGGGAGAAAAAGGAAAAAAATAAAATCTTAAAAAAAAAATTAATCAAGTAATACATGTTTATTGTAGAAACATCAGAAATTAAAGAAAATTCAAACAAACCATAGCGAGCTCCAGTTTTCTCTTGTGGAATAAGTAAGGTTGATATTTGACATTCATGAGAACTAGCTCCTAAGACCTTTGCAAATGCAAAATTTGTATCCTTGCTGGCATAAGCCTCCTAAAACGCAGGATAGAGCTGAGACTGGGTGGGTGGTCATGCTCTTCACTGAGGTAGAGACCACAGAAAGAAAAGCAAGTTTGATGGAAGAAAATGATGCGTTAAGTTTTGGACTGAAACAGTTTGTGTTGAAGTCTGAGATTCTTCTAAAGAATACAAAAATACTGAGGGCCTATTATGTGGCAGACACTGTGCTATGTACTGGGAATATACAGGTGAACAAAAAAGATGATCCTGACCTCATGGAGCTGGGAAATGTACCAAATAATCAGACAAATAAATATGTAATTATAAACTTTGGTAGGGGGTATGTAAGAAATAATAAGACACTAGGATGTAAACCATTGTAGCTAAATATTTGCTCACATCCTTAATACGTTCCTGGAAAGATTCCCTAAAAGCACGATTTCTGCGTCTACAAATCTGTTGTTTTTATTTATTTAAAAATTTTTAAAAACAGTTTATTTTTTGGAACGGCTTTAGGCTCACAGCAAAATTGGGGCAGAAAGTATAGACTGCTCATATACCCACTGCTCCCCCCTCGATCAACAAGCTACTCTTTTTTAGGTTTTAAAAAAGTTATTATTATTTTATTATTATTTTGAAGCGGCTTTGGGTAATGGGAGAAGAGACTGAAAACACACAGGAACCCTAGTTTGTTAAAAAACAAGGTTCAGCTGAAGAACCCGAACAGTGTGTCAAAGGAAAGACTCCATTTCCCAAAGGGCAACGCGGCACGTCACAGAGGAAGGACCGCACATGCGCAGAGTGGTCCTCCAGGACGCGACTCATAAAAGGGAAAAAGCCTATGCGGTTCTCAACGTGCCACGAATCTTTGAACGCGAGCGCGGTATTGTCCGCGGACTTTGAAAAGCATTCGAGGGACGCACCTGCTCTCACCGCCGCAGTTTCCAGCGTGAGGTGCCTGTTCCGCCCGTGGCTCGGTGGGTAGGGATGGGTCGTGGTCTGGGATCCCCAGAGAATGGCGGGAGCGGAGGACCTGAGACCCCCACTGCGTCCCCACTTCCCGGCCTCGCTGAGGCGGCTCTGGAGGGGCGATGCGCACGCGCCCTTGGCCGGGCGAGGCGGGGCTCGGGGAGGGAAGGCCCGCGCCGGGCTTTGAGATCTGCGCCTGCGCCGCCGGCCCTGCTAGGGTGGGAAGCGGCGGCTGGCCGAGCTTGGCGCAGAGGCGGGCAGGGACGGGCTACCCAGCTGTAGCGCGAGAAGGTGAGGGCTGAGGATGAGCCTCGAACACTGGCGTTTTTTATTATATGCTCGAGATGTGCCCATTTTAACAAAATAACCTCATTCTCCCTCCAGATTCCTGCAGGTGCCTTCTCGTCTCTCTCGCTCGGTTTGCAGCCAAAGCTTCAGTCTCTACTCACTGGCACCTTTTCTCCTCCGAGTCTGTTCTGAACCCACTCCAGTAAGGCATTGGTCCCCACCACGCTGCTGCAACAGCTCTTTGTCAAAGTCACCAATGATCTCTAGGTCGCCAGATTCGGTATTTAGTTCTTAGTCCCACAGCAGTGTCTGATGCAGTTTATCACTGCTCCTTCTTGAAACGTGTTCTTCACTGGGCTTGCAGAACATTCTCGTCTTTAGCGTCAGCTCTTCTCTGGCCTCTCTGCTGATTCTTGCTCCTCTTCCTTATCATTAATGGTGGCACTGCCCCAAGGCCTCATCCTGGATCCGTTCTCTGTGTTCACTTGCTGGGAGTTATCCATTTCAAGGCTTTAAATATTAATACCATGTATTGTGCTAACTCTCGAATTTCCATCTTCAACCAATGCTCTGCCTTGAACTCCACAGTCTTATATTCAGCTCTTACCCCCACCCCCCCCACCCGCCGCCTTTTTCTCCCCAAAGCACCCCCGGTACATAGTTGTATATATTTTTTTAGTTGTGGGTCCTTCTAGTTGTGGCATGTGAGATGCCGCCTCAGCATGGCTTGATCAGTGGTGCCATGTCCGCACCCAGGATCCAAAACCGTCGAAACCCTGGGCCGCCGAAGCAGAGTGCATGAACTTAACCACTCGGCCAGGGGCAAGTCTCTTATATTCTGTTCTTGCATGACATCTCCTCTTAATGTTTAATCAGCATCTCAAACATGTCCAAAACTGAAATTTTGAGTTTTACCCGCCACACACCTTCCCCAGTCCTCCCATTCTTTCAGTTGCTTAAGCCAGACGCTTGAGTTATTCTTGGCATCTTTTGCTTCCCCCCCTTCCTTCTCTATCCTTCTGTTAGCACGTATTTATCCTTGAGGCTTTGAAGTTTCACTGCTGGGTGTCTAATTGTAAGTATTCTCTCTGGCACTTGGTGGGTCCATTCTGCCTGAAAATTTGTTTTCAGTTTTTGGTGTTCTCTGTCATTATTTCTTTAGATTTATCCATTTATCTGTTCTGTGTCTCTATTAGAGTGTTATTTCACCCACAAAAAAGTGTATGGAACTATTTGTTTAATATCTTTGTTCCTTTCTGGACTATAGCAAGGCAGAGACTGTCTCATTCACTGCTGTATATCCATCATGCCTGTCACAGAGTAGGTACTTGATAAATATTATTGAATGAGTGAATTTATAAAGGGGAAGTACCTCTTCTCCATAGATGGGAGGTAGACAATCCCTCTTAGAACGTGTTGATAGCAGCCAATTTTTTTTTTCTGTGATCGGGGAGGAGAAGATATCGAATGGTCCAGCTTCAGAATTGTTGCAGTGTTTCTAAGACAAAAGACTGTTTTAAGAGGTTTCCAGGATTCAGCTCAGTTCAGCAGTCTGTTCTGAGAACTTTAAGTAGGTGCCAGGCCCTGTGCTAGTTTCTGAGAATATAAAATGCATAAAACTGTATCCCTGTCTTCTGAGAAGTTGTGGTCTGGCAGGAGAGACAAGTAAATGAAACAATTAGTGTCTCGGTGTATGTATGACAAGTGCAAGAATGGAAGTTTCTGTACAGTGTTTTGGACTTTTTTTTTTAAAGATTTTTCTATTTTTCCTTTTTCTCCCCAAAGCCCCCTAGTACGTAGTTGTGTATTTTTATTTTAGTTGTGGATCACTTCTAGCTGTGGCACGTGGGACGCCGCCTCAGCATGGCTTGATGAGCGGTGCCATGTCCCCGCCCAGGACTCGAACTGGTGAAACCCTGGGCCGCTGAAGCAGAGCACACGAACTTAACCATTCGGCCATGGGGCCGGCCCCCTGCTTTGGAAGTTTTGATTGCCCTTGGCATCAGGGCAGATGAGAGGAGCCTGGGGCAGCTGGATCACCCTGCCAGGCTTTTATGGCTGTGAGCAACTTTTCCCTTTTACCGCAGCATGCCATACAGATATTACCATGTTCTCTGTGTGCCGTGGTGTGAGAAAGGTTGGCGAGTACTGCTGTAAAAGCATCAACTTTGCTGCCGTTTGGTTTGGACCCTGGATGATGAGTAAATTTGAGAGACTCTGGGGGGAAGTGGAGGAAGGATGAAAGGGCATTCCAGGCAGGCATAGCAGCTTGGGCAGGCACGACAGAAGGATGAAAGTTTACCTGTTTGAGTTGGGGCACTGGAATTGTTCGCCGGTCTTATTGGAGGGTAGGGTCCGTAGGAGAGGGCTGTTTGAGAGGCGCTGTCCAGGATCTGAAGCAGTGCCTTGAAAGTGTTTCGTAAACCAGAGTGTCCATTTTAGAAATACCTGGCCCAAGCATGAGGCCCTCTGTTCTCAGTTGGTAGATCCATTAGGGTCCATAGTTTTAGCCACCGACTTTGTGGAGCTGGAAGTTGGGACATGCGGTAAGTTGCAGGCCTTTTTTTCTGAATTCTAAATTTTAATAGAAAGATTCTTACAAAGGTTTTAAAAATCAATCTCATTTAGGCTTTGGATGAATCATCTGCATTGGAAAAAATACCCAATTTATGTCACTTCAGGATATGTGGTCACTATATCAGTGGTGTGGATGGTAGTTTGGTGGACACTGAACTAATGGGAGTTGGATGTTGATGATACTAAGGGCTTTCTGAGCCCTTAAAGCTTAGGTTGTGCAGTCAGATGTATCTGGATTTGAAGCCCACCTTTGCCGCTGTTCCTTTTGTAACCTTGGTGAAGTTGTTTATTTCTCCAAGATTCAAGTTTACACAGTGCTAAATGAATAGTACTTACTTTGCAGGATTGTTAGGACTGTTAAATAGGATAATCTACATAAAACTGCTCAGCACGAGGTAGGTACTCTGTAAGGAATAGCTGTCATTATTACCTTTATTTTCCTGCTCTTTTTTTCAGATGCCATAGTGAGACACCATCTTACTGGTGACACTTTCAGGGTAATCATAATAACCTAACAGTTGATTGGCAGTTTACAGTAGACAAAATGCTTCTACTTCCATGATCTCTTTTGCTATTGAATATGCCGCAGTTGTGACAAAATTTGGAAGTTGGAGGAAGACTGTAGATTTTAGAGTTTGCAGTCTTGCAGCCCCAGCTCAGCTACTTGTATTTCCTGGGTTCCCTGGTGTAACTTAACCTGTCTGAACTTCAGTTTCGCCAGCTGTGAGGAGGGTGTCCTTTTCGGATTGCTGTAAGGTTTCCACGAGAATCACTTGTGTAAGCTTCAGTACAGAAGCATGGTAGATACTAGGAGAAAAAAAAGAAGTCATCGCTTCTCCTTAATTTTTTTTTAAACCAGTTGACAATTGTAGATTCTTATTTATGGTAACTGCATTGAAGGTATGGAATCTGAGTGGAGAGTCTTAGATGCCTTGCTTCCCTTTGACTCAGAACAAAGCCCTTATTGTCTTAAGCCCCGAGGGATTAATCTTAGAGTGGCATAAATATAGGATGTTTGAATTTGCTTGTATGAGGCCTCGGCTGCTAGTAGAGGGGCCAGAGAACAGTTTTAGGCTGAATGTTTAGCAATCAATATGTGCTTCCATCTTGCAACCTGGATCCCTAAGAATTATCTATTAGTCAGACTTCTCAGTTGCAGATAACAAAAAACTAACCCAAACTAACCTAAGCAGAAAAGGAGTGTCTACTGACTCTTAACTGGAGTCCTGGGTATACCAGCTTCAGGCATGGTTATATCCAGAATCCTAAATTACGTCACCAGTATTTTCTGTCTTTCAGCTGTGCTCTCCTCCATGTTGGTTTCACTCTCTAGCAGGCAAAAGCCTCCATAAGTTCCAGGCTTCTATGCTACTCTCTTAACAACCAACTGAAAGAGGGTATCCTTTGCAGATAGCTCCAGCAAAAGATCTGAAATTGATTTTGGCCAGACCTGGGTCACTTGTCTCTGCCTGAACCAGTCGTTGTGGTCAGGGAGAATGTAATATTTTCATGGGCCCAGGTCATAGACCCATCCTTAGAACGAAAGTGGGGGATCGTTTCCCAAAGGGAAGTTGGAGTACTGTTACCAAAATGGAGAAAAGGTGCTGGGCAGTGTACTCAGAGGTTGCTTCCGGTAATGGTGGAGTAGCTCATATCAGGCCAACCTTTATGTAAATAATGATTATAAACTCTGCACAAAATATAAAAGACTGCTTGCTATCTGAAGGTACTGGAGAGCAAGCGAAAGCAGGCAGTAACTAACTGCAGAGGAGTTGACACCCAGAAGAAGGGATTGGCACTGGCAAGTCTCTCATTTGTTTGTCGTTTTTTTTAATGCCTTGTCACATGATAAAGGCCCATCTTGGAAAGAAGATAACCACAGAGAAGGAGTTCCAAATTCTTTATATAAAAGTTATTTTATTGGGCCGGCCCCGTGGCCGAGTGGTTAAGTTTGTGCGCTCTGCTGCGGCAGCCCAGGGTTTCACCAGTTCGAATCCTGGGCATGGAAATGGCACCGCGCATCAGGCCATGCTGAGGCAGCGTCCCACATGCCACAACTAGAAGGACCCACGACTAAAAATGCACAATTATGTACCGGGGGGCTTTGGGAGAAAAAGGAA